TACTTTGTCTTCTTCACTGCATGATAACAAGTTGATATCACCCATGGCAACCCAAGACCAAGAAACACATTCACACTGTTACTCCCTGGAAACAACAAAGGTATCTTATTACAAAACATAATGAATGTGATACAATGAATATATGAAGTTCATATATTTTGAACTGCGGTTGTAGATATGTATGATGCACGATCCTCGCAGTGGAGGCCTGATTTTTTTCAGGTCTGATTTTCGCTATTGCATAAAATAGCACTCTCTACTGCAAGGATCGTGCATCATACATATCTACAACCGCAGTTCAAAATATATGAACTTCATATATTCATTGTATCACATTCATTATGTTTTGTAATAAGATACCTTTGTTGTTTCCAGGGAGTAACAGTGTGAATGTGTTTCTTGGTCTTGGGTTGCCATGGGTGATATCAACTTGTTATCATGCAGTGAAGAAGACAAAGTATATTGTGTACAGTGGTAATCTAACTTTCTCAGTGCTGGTCTTTACAACTTTTGGGCTTATTTGTCTTACAACCCTTGTCATTAGAAGAGTGGTAAGTTGATGCTTATGCATAATTTCATTACAGTAAGAAATAGACTTCCTTGTGGAAACTAAACAATATGATTTTTTTTCCATATTCCCAAATTCAAATCGTGAAATAATGAATTTTGACTGATAAGGTACATTGGCAAGTTTCTGGGTCAGTACATTTAACTGTATACATGTTATCTGGAAAAAAGTGTTTGGAAATCTTTTCATAGAAACATTTATTCTTAGAATTGTATGTTAGTTTGTTGCTTTCAATGATAAGTTATTGATGTATGTATTTGCTCTAATTTTCAGATTTTCAAAGGAGAGCTTGGTGGTCCTGCAACATCAAAACACATGACTGGGTTATTCTTGGTTTTCCTGTGGTGTTGTTATGTTGTGGTATCAGCATTAGTGGCATATGATGTAATTCTTGTTGGTCTTTGACACAAAAACTTATTTATAGAGTTACTTTACCATATTTCATGGATCTGGCATGTGGAAATTCAAAATGAAATTAAACTCTTGCCAAGTACACTCAAGAAGAATTGTGACATGACTAAAGAGGTTAACATTAACCCTTAGAGGAAAAACAATTTTAGCAACTGTATTGAACCCATCTCACTCTGATTCACATAGGAGAAATAATTGTCCAACTGTGCTTGGTAGAGTACAAATAACGCATGAGACGAGTACAAATATCTTGTAATATTTGTGCTGTGGAAATATCTGCAAAATTTGCCCACACTGAAATAACAATCTGACATGTTGGATAATAAATCTCCTATAAGATAATTTGTTGTGTGGTATTGCTGGGTATTTTTACTCATTGTTTGCATTTGACTCACCCTACAGGCTTGCCAAAATACAGCAGAACATGTAAAAATACTCAGTGATGCTTCCCAACAAAACATCTAATAAGATATATATATAACTAACAAGTTAAAAGGCCTCAAGCCAACAGTGGCGCCGCGCCAGAAGGATCAAAAAGGATTCACAGTCCAAACCTCGATAAATAATAGGAAAAATATTGTAGTACATGAGGATGGACAACTTCGAGCTAAGAAAGACACATACTCAAATAAAAAGTCTAAGAAAGTTTAATAAAAATGTTTCTGTCGGAGACCTTCATCAGTTGTCCGTCCTTGTGGACTACAATATTTTTCCTATATATTTAACAATTATTCCACGAGCGCGCGTTGGATATGAGATGATAGATAGCCAACGAGGCGCGTAGCGCTGAGTTGGCTATAATCATCTCAAATCCAACAAGCGCGAGTGGAATAATTGTTTTATTAAAAACGCCCTCAAGAAATTATTATTTTGTAAGAAGAAACTGGATTT